TAATTTTTTGTTATAATATATAATTTTTTAATATTTTATCATTTTATGTATTTTTCAATATCTATTTTTATCCAATTTTTATATTTTTCTCATGAGTTTTTGTCTTTTCCAGTTTTGTTTTTTTTTCCAGTTTCTGTTATATATAGTATCATTTTTCTATGTTTTTTATGTATTTCATATTTGAAAATATATTTTTTGAACTTTTTATCTTTTTTCATATCTTTTTAGTTGAAATATATGTGTGTATTTACATTTTTCTGTAATTGTATGCAAATGTTTACATTTTGATGACTTTTTTATAATTTCCTATATATATATTTGCAATTTCTGGTGTTTTACATGAAATATATATTATTTACCATTTTCTATGTTTTCTATATGTTTTTATTTCTTATTTAAAAATTTGAAACTTTTTATATTATGCTATTGTATGTTTTTATGCAATTAAATAAGAGAAAAATAATAAAGTCCAATTTAAATTAGAGGGTCAAATGGGTGGGTCAGGGTTAGAGTGGGTTGTGAGTCTTGTGACCCACTTTGACCCACAAACATGGGTGGCAAATGGGTTAGCCGTGGGTTGTACTATCCTCCCCCTCCCCCCATGTATCTATTATATTCTCTATGGGGGTGTTCTTTTTTTGGATTTTGAGAGGGGGAGAGTTGGTCAATGGTATTTTGTTTCCCATTGACCAAAAAACACATGTTCTTTTTTCATATTTATGTGGGGATTAGGGGAAAGTTTATTTTCCTAATAAGTGATACGCATCTCCTAGGTGGATAAATAACTTTTCCACCTGGGGGAAGGTTACCAATAATTGAATGGGACAAAAATGCCCTTTTTAATAATGGATTTTTATGATTAAAATGGTCATTGACTTATTTACATGAGAAATAAAAGAACGGGACCATGATGTATTCTCAATTAATTCTTTCCTCCTTGACATTAATTTTGACATTTAGAAAACAACACAGTCAATATAATGCTATTTTATGTTTTATATAATAATTATGTAGTTTTATGCCTGCAATTTTATTTCTATTGTTTCTTTTTTTTGTTTGCTTTTAAACGAAAATTTATTATCCTCTAATCGGTATACCATTGATACATCTATATAACGTGATAATCTACTATTTTGACATCCAAAATAAGTAACAAAACAGTAAGTAACATACCTGATGAATCGGTTGTGGACAGTGGTTACAGGAAGTTGATGATGGTTGCTCCACCCCTCTTCAGAAGTTGAAAACTCTAATTTATTATTGAGAATGACAAGGGGGTGGAGCTCCTGTTTTGATGTCTAAATGAAATAAGAAGAAAAAAGTTATTAACATACCTGATGAACCCATTGTAGAACGATGGTCACTCAGCTTTGTTTTAAAGTCTAAAAGAAAGAAGAAGAAAAAAAAATGTTATTAACATACCAATGAATCGATTGTAAAACAATGGCTGCTCCACTTTGTTTTGAAGTTTATGACTTAGGGTCCGTTTGATTCGTAGTCGGAATTGGAATCGGAATCGGAATGGTCCATTCCCATAGTCTGTTTGGTTCAAACAGGAATGGGAATAGGAATTAAAATCAGCAGGAATGATATCTCATTCCCAAGGGAGAGGCAGGGAATGATCATTCCCTCAAATGGGGGAATGCCATTCCAACAGGAATGGGAATGGGATTCCGATTCCACCCAACCAAACAGTTGGAATCGGAATAGCCCTTTCTAATTCCGACTCCAGACCCCTATTCACATGAACCAAACGAGACCTAAACTTGAAAGCTCCAAGAAACAAGTTGTTTTGAGATGGAAAAGAAAATTTTTACATGGTTGGTTAGAAGAAAAGTTTCCAATTATATCAGGATTGTGAAGCTAGATTGATTGGGAAAGGGAGTGGAGGATAGTAGTTTCTTGAGAGAGCAAGGAACAATATTATATTTATAATATATAAATATGTTATAAATATTATATATTTATAGTATTTATAATAGATTATAATTTCACTTACTCCCACATAACAAATTCTAACTTCACTGTACAATTGAGGAACAAGAGTAATTGATGCCAATACACGAGGCGGTATTGGTGTTTGGGTGGGAGTGTGGAAGTTTTGAATTGTTGTTGGTGTACAATGGAGTTAAAATTTTTTAGGTGGGTTGTAGTGAGGTTTTCTCTTTATTATTTATAATATAATATTTATTTATAATATATGTTATATATATATGATATTATTAAAAGTGTGAATGAGATCTAGATTCTATAATTTTTTTGACTAAAATACCCTTATTCTTTGAACTTAGTCTCCCTATGTTTATGAGGGCAAAATAAACTTAATTTGAACTACTACTTTTATTAAATTCATTATATTCTTTATCATTAAGCCCTATATTCAAGGTATTAAGACCCATTTCCTTTTATTAAATCTTATATTTAAGGCACGTTAAACAAATGAGCTTTATAGACTTTTTTTTTTTTTGACTAAGTCACCCCTATCTGATAATTTAATCCCTCTTTAACTATGTAGACAAAAAATATAATTTAAAGTATCATTACTTTCCACTTCATTAAATTTCCTCTCTAAGGTATTAACTCTCATTTTCTCTCCTTAAATATTTTATTTGATGTATTTTTGTTTCTCACCAATTAATTTTATATCTAATATTGTTAATAATATAAAACCTATGCTCAAAACCAACATGAAAAATAATTAAATAAACCACCTTTTTGTCTATGTGGCAAGTAAATAGTTCAACCATTAATATCAAATGGGTCATCAATATTCTCATAGTTAAATAATAAAAATTTAAAATATATAAATATGAATATTACAATTTATAAAAAAGGTTGTGAATCTTTCAACATTTTAGGTCAAATAGATCAACCCATGATATCATAAATAAAAATAAAAAATAAAAACACAAAAATTATCAAAAACATAGAAATTCTGGAAAAAAAACATTTGAATGCATCTTTAATGTTATGTATTCATCATATTAAACAAACTATGTGTGATAAATAAGTGTTATTTTTATTAATGATAGAAATATAATTAAAAACTAAAGTAATTTAAAAAAGAAAATTGTTTTTGCATCTAATTAATGATCAATGGTCCATATGGAGAGAAATTAGGCTGGCTTAACTCGAGCTTGAATCGACCTAATTCGTAATTTTAAACAAACTAGCTTTGATTTTGAGTCCTTGACTTGGGCCTAGGCTTAGTGTCACGACCCAACTGCTCCCATTGGCTAAATCGTGTGGCACTCACTTGGCCCTCCAAGCAAGTCAGCCAAACTGCACGCCCAAGACCCTTTTTGATAGGTTGCTTAAGTGCTAAGGACACTCACCAAGGTACACAAGAGCACACCAAGTATTGTAAGAGGAAGAGATTACATTACACTAGAAGAAAGATTACAACTTGGATGTCTTGTACAACTTAGAAGCCTTATTGCAAATGAGAGAGGGACGCCTATTTATACACTAACTCCCTCCAGGAATCCTCTATAATTATGTACAATTAGCATAATCTAGAAGCATCTCTAGAACATTCTACCTTCTACACTCTTCTAGGGGATGCTTTCTCCATATGATACAAGAATACTCTAGAGGAAGTTTGGACTAATCTCAACCTCTCTAGGTTGTTCCACACAACTCTAGATGGTTCAACAAGTTTCTAGAGAGTTCCGCCAACATCTAGACCCTTCTAGACATATGGAGAACACTCCACAACACTTTGGAAGCATGCAGAATTAGCTAGAAACCTCAAGAAACATCTAGAAAACCTCTACCCAAGTACTCCATTGTGTCACTCCGTGACATTAGGTTCAAAAGATTGAGCCTTTTTTATTTTTTGGGTTGGGTCCAAGCCTATTCCTTAGGTAGCTAAAGTAAAGCTCAATTATGTATATACTGATACAATCATAAATACATACATAACAAATATTTGCATACATGCATGTATATACAATTACACACATACATTTTATATCAAAATTTGCCATGGGATAATTGATAGATCCAAGTCCAAGATTAAAGCAAGTGCATTAAATTTTAATGAAGGCTAGAGGTTCGGCCCAAGTTGAATAGATCAGGCTTGACTTTGGTCTTAGGTCTAGCGCAAAGGGTTGGGCTTAGGTTAAGTTTACGTTCAGCCCAACCTACTTACACCATAATGGTCCAATCGCTTGGGTAAGTAAGTTAATTAATGATGTCATAATTAAATAATAAAAATTTAAAAAATAGATTGGAACACCAAAAATAAAAAAACAAAATTTATAGAAAATATTGAGATATCTAGGATATTATAAACTTATCATATCAAACAAAGAAATAAGTGTGATAAATAAGAATTATTTTTACAATTAATTATGTAAATTGAATAACAAATTTAAAGTTGCAGAAAAATGAATTGCTTTTTCTCAAGTCAAATAGGGTAGCAAATGGTGTCATAATTATGCAATACAAACTAAAAAAAAAAGATAGAAATAAAAGTTATAGAAAACATAATAATTCGTTTATGAAATTTCTACACATCTATAATATTATATATTTATCATATTAAGCAAAAAATAAATATGATAAATAAGAAGTATTTTTATTAATAATGAAAATGATATATAAAATAATCTAAATACACCAATACACCATGCTTTTATTACTTATTCTTTTTTTTATAAAATTACTTAACCTTTTAAATGATTATAATAGGAATATTAAAATTATTAATAATGTTATCTGAAATTACTACGTGCAACATATATACATAGTAGATATAAAAAAACTGAAAAATCGATCAATTGAAACCGATAAAAATCCAAAATTGATTAACCCATTAATCAGTGAAATTGAAAAAAGAAAAAACTTATAGTTACGGTCGGTTTTCAAAAAATAGCAGAGAGCGAGCACCCCTAAGGCTATGTTTGTGTTGAAGGAAAAAGTAGGGAAAAACCTACTTCCGAACTCGGAAATCTACGGACCGAGTTTTTTATAAGTTCGGTTCGGGCCGGGTTAAGAATCTTAAGATGGCAGTGTTGGCACGCCACATTTCTATCGCAGGTGAAGAATACCGTTCCCTCCCTAGTCCCTGCGTCTAGACTCCAGACCGAGTGATCAGCCGGCTTGTCTTTTTAATTATCGGGGAAAGCCACGCCATTAACAGATACACGGAGATAGAATGGCGAGAGCGTTACTCTTCCGTACCTCTTCCATCCGTTCAGTCATTCGCCACACAAAGTCATTCTCATCTTCTGCTTTTTCTTCAAATCCTTCTTTGCATCCTTGCATCAACAAAACTTCAATCGTCCCTCCACTGCCTTCGAAACCCTTTTCAAATCCCACCTCTCACCAGTCTTTCAACTTTTTCTTCCCATCCCGATCCCACTCTTCATCCCCAGGTGCGTGATATCCCATCCCATTTCCATAGTTTCATCTGTTTTTTCTTTTATATATTTCAATCTTTAATACTGGTTTTTCTATTTGCTTGTTTAACTGGTTAAGTAAATCCAGGTTCTTCGAACATTGTTCTTATTAAATCAGAAGAAGAGTTCAACAGTTCTCTTAAAAGGGTTAAAGGTACGTTTAGTTTATTTGTCCTAAATATTTAGAGCTTAATTTGAACGGAATTTCTAGTTGCTTACATCGTTTTTTTTATTGCAATAGATGACAAATTGCCAGCAATTTTCTACTTCACTGCAGTATGGTGTGGGCCTTGTAAGATTCTCAGGAACATCTGTCATTGATATCATGGAATCTTATTTCCATGTTTTTTTCTTCATTTTAAACATTTTTAATCAGCATAGATTCGTTTGGATTAAGTGAATCGAGAAATGGCTGTTGTTTCGTTTAGGCAGGTTCGTTTCTCCTGTTGTAGAAGAGTTCGGGAAGAAATACCCGCATCTTACCATATATAAGATTGATATTGATCAGGTGAGAAGTGCTTTCTCTAATGTATACCATCTTTAATCTATTTACATGGTGTATTTCTCTCAAAGTAGGTTCCGGATTAACTTTGAAATGATGTCTAAATGAAATAAAGTGATCAAGTTCATGGAGCCCATGCCTGCCTGCTAACTTTTTTCTCCCTATTATCAAACTGTCCCGACCTTTTGAATTCAAGCAGCTTCTCTTGTTGGGTGCCTGATTTTGTTACTATTTGTTGTTGGGGTTTCTATTAGCATTGTCCATACCTTTTTTTTTTTTTTTTCGTATTGGAACTTCTACAACTAGTTCAGTGGAGTTATTTCCAGCAACCCCATCTTATTCTTTAATGGAATGCTTGATTAGAACAAAGCTCATAAGTTGTGTTATTATATGAAGGTTTCTCTAAAAGTCACCTTGATCTTTCTCTTATGCATCTTGTCATATTTTAGATAGTTGGAGGGAAGTTGTGATTGATTCCATCAATCAGATGAGAATTACCTTTATCCATATGAAGGTATGTTGTGCCAATGTGACTACCTATCAGAAGGAGAATCCTCTGATATTTGTTCAATGCTCTAGTCCATGTCAGCTCCATTCCCCACCTTATGTGGGGGCACGCTTTAACCCCTTCCAAGAGACTGAAAGGCTGCACTAGGCCAATTAGGGTGGTGTTTGTTAATTGAACTGAAGTAGGTTCTGAAAACAAAATTCAGAAAAAAAAAAAGAATTCAAATTTAAGGTTCGTTTTCCAGAATTTTAGTGATTTGCCACCTGCTTATCTTCTGAATAATGACACATAGGCATTGGGGTGATTATTTACCCCTAAAAATTTTATCATATACCAATAAGATATAAAAAATACCAACATTTTTTAACACCAAAAAATGATGAGGTTGCCATTGGATGAGGAGTTTGGAGGAAATTGATTTCTTTCTCTATGGATTCTTTCCTTTCCATGCCTGGGTCATTTTACCCCAGTTCAAAAAAAAAACAACTTATCCTTAAATTTTGAAATGAGGAAGACTCATTTATTAGACCAATTCATGATTTTAACGTTCGGTGCAGGTGATGGTAGGGATTATGGAAACAGCAACTGAGAATTAACTCTTTATATTCAGAAATTTCCATCTCAACATGATGAAACTTTTATTTGAGCTTGTAGTGAACATCATGAGGAATTTCTTTGAGAACCTGTTGAACACCCAGATCTGGATCTAGATCTGGTTCCTTTTCTTTCATGCATTTCATTATAAGAACATAAGGTTTTGATGCTTTGTAGGTTATGGATATTTCATGTCACCCTGCTTGAATCTCTTGGCAGTTTCATTCTACTCATGCTTTGGAGATAGTCTTGTTAAATTGAACTTTGAAATCCTTCCCAACTCATCTTTAGGCTTCACTTTGATACCAAATTGATGTAGGATGGAAGGAGAAGAGTCTTACTAGGATGAATGCAATGGGAGGAAGAGGGAAATTAAGGATCTGAATTATGATTCAGATTCAAACCTGAATAGAGAAAAGTAAGAAAAGAAAGAGTGAGAAGAAATATAATAGACAAAGAGATTTATCAAAAAAAAAAGATAATAGACAAAGAGAGAAGAAGAAAGCACACTATTACCTTGTAGGTAACTTCAAACCTTTTTTTTTTCATTCATTCCACTCTCAAATTCCAATTGTAATAACTCTATAGTAGACTAATTATAAAGGTTCTGGTGTTCCGTTATACATTTCAACTTGGACCAAAAACTGATCCATAACAAATTCTAACTACTTTAAAAACTAAGACAACCCAATAGGTACCCATAGGGACACTCAATAATGACTCTAACCCTTAAAATAGCTCAAAATATCCATTATTGGTCTTACTAAAACCAACTTATTGTAAAGGCACCTGAAATTACTAAAAATAGTGAATTGCAATTTTACTATAAATAGTAGTCTGAGAAGTGTCATAAATAGTAGTTTTAATTTTTCACTAATGATAGTAAATTTCTTGGAGAGTTGAATCTGTATTCTTAATACAGCAATAAACTAGAAAATAAATTTGAAAAGACTGAAAAAACCTAAAATCCAAAATATTCAAGAATTATGGAATTGTCATTGAATGAAGAGTTGGAGGAAACTGATTTCTTTCTCTATGTTTTTTTTTATTGGTTTTGTTTTTTGGCATCTGAATTGCCAGGTTAGTGGGTCACATGCTAGTAGGGACAGGGCAAGGTGTATGTGAGGCCCATTTGTAATACCACAGAATACCATGGAGAGCCTGTAGTTACAAGGGTTTGATCCTGCACCTCTGTTGTGGCCTATGGGAGTGATGCCGACTAACCAACTCAACTACAGGGTCATTGACTTTTTTTTTTTGATAATTGAAATAATTTTATTAATCAGCAATAGACAATAGTACAAAGTCCCCAAGGAAAGGCATGAGTTGCAACCTCTYYGGGCTAGTTAAGTAYAGATTTCCAAATTAATAACAACTTACATAGAAGCACAAAAAAGATCTTCCCTAGAAACCCCCTGTTTGGCTAAAGCATCAGCCAATGAATTAGCTGACCTACTAACCCATTTTACCTCAACTCTCATATTGCTGGTTAACCACTTTACTTTTTTGATGAGATCTTTGTAGCCCCAAATGGTGGTATCCAAGTTTAGGAGCCACCTTGTTACCACTTGAGAGTCCCCTTCAACTAAGAGATGCTCCACCCCAAGCTGGTTGGCGATCTGAATTCCTTGTACTGCAGCAAGGATTTCTGCCCTTGTGGAATCCCCCACTCCCACCGGTCCTGAGAATAGGGATATTATGTTGTTGTCCTTATTTCTCAGGATACCCCCCCTATACCTGAAGGCCTGGGGTTGCCTTGGCTGCTTCCATCAAAGTTTAGCTTGATGACACCTTCCAAAGGCGGAATCCATTCTGACAGAATTATATCATTTTTTGTTGAAGTGTTAGCTATTACTAGCCAATTCCTCCACAAGTCATCAAAGATATCCACAGTTTTCAGCCAATGGATTGCTCTTGTTAGGATACAATCCTTCATTTCATCTAATCCTCTTTCCTTCTCTAAGAAAATTCTTGCATTCCTTTCCTCCCAAAGATATCCACAGTTTTCAGCCAATGTACAGGGTCATTGACTTTATCCATGGATTTTTTCCTTGCTTCCATGCCTGCATCATCTAGGGTCTAGGTTTCATTAAATCATGTTAATCCAGCTCAAGATTATGGGCCTTTAAAGTTGCATCAGCAAGTCCAAGCATAATAAGTTATTAAGTTAAATTTAGGCTTGCTTTTTCTCTACATTATCAAATCATTCCTTCCATCTTAGTTCTGTTATTCTCACACTCAGTCTCTTTGCTTAATTCTTTGTTATTTCTGTTTTTTAGTTCTGCAGCCCTTAAATAACCCAACTTAGACTTCTTTCCCTTCTTTTAATATTTCTAAGCATTCTCAAGTTCTGTCTAGCCCCCTTTGCTGGTTATATTTAACCAAAATGTTAATCTAAACAAGCTGAGGGTTTTGTGGTTTATTTCCATTTTGATAAAGTTCATTTTCAACCCATTATTTCCTCTATTTTCACCCTTATTTTTTATCCCTTTAGACTGATTGCTTATTGGCACCTAATTGTTGTAATTTCATTCTTAAAACTTCATCTTAAAACTAGCAAAATACTTAGCCTTTTTATTGGTAACTTGTAATTTTATTGATATGTGAAAAAAGAATGATTTGCAATAGAATACAAATGTGCTTATGACCCCTTTTTATGATATACATAGACCAAGCCTTGCCCAGCCAATGCATTAGTTAGGTTGGCCAATATTTGAGTCCTTGAGGATGTGGCTTGAAGCTCCTATGAAAGTGCTTTGTTCTCTCTTAGATATTTGTAGAAACCTCACCTTAGATTTTTAAAGATGACTTTTAAGCCAGTTGCTTACCAGTCTGACATTGAAAAAGTTCAATTTGGCTACTACAAGGTAACTGCAAGAGCAATGAAAGATCCTTAGACAAACCAAAAGAGTAGAGTCATAAACAATGTTGTGAGATTTGGACCAAATAAAAAACCTGTAAAGCTCACTGGGTCACACCATCACAATTTTACCATTTTTTTTAGCAAAGGTTCATTGTATTGATGTAAAGGTCCTTTGTACAATGAGAAACTGTACACATCAAAACAGAAGGACCTCAAAAAAAGTCCATCCTCAAAAAATTACAATCAAAGTATCCCCTTTAAATTCAGCAAGTATAGACAGCCAACTTCTAACAAAACCTACAGCCGAATTGATGACTTCAGCTGCAGTAGAGGATTTAAGATCAAAGACCCTACTATTCCTTTCTAACCACACCGCCCACATTATTGCTAAGGGAATGGAAGACCAACAAATTTTTCCTTTCTTAGTCATCCCTTGGATCTGCTAAGCCTCCATACAGGCTTTAACTGAGGCTGGCATTTACCAACTTAACTTCAGACTTCTTAAGAAATGGCTCCAGATCTCTGAGGCAAAAATGTAGTGTAAAAACAGATGGTTTACTGGAAGGTGTAATTTATGGAGGAGGAGAAGAACTTTGTGGAGGCCAATTGATGGAGGAAGTACCTCAAGGCGGAGGCAAAGAACTTTCTGATGGAAGAACTAAGAATCAGAGGGCAGATTAGCTTGAAAATCAGGGAAGCTAAGCTGGCTATGGTGCTGTTGGTAGGACTGAATGTGGTAGAGTGGTTCATAGATTTTGTAGTTGCAGCGAGTGCAAAAGGAAAAGGACAGATTCTGGAAAGAATTTAGAACAGAGGTGGGAAGGAGGTATGTGGTGGAATGCAGGAAAAACCATAAAGGAGTCTTCATAACACTTTCAGAGCAGTATGGCAAAGCCAGGAAACAAATGGTCTGCTTTCCAGAAGGAAGGAAGAGCCAAGGGTGGACTGAAATAGTCAAGGCTCTGRGAGACTTTATAGCTAGAACGAAAATGACAAAGGAAAARGGTTTGGAAAAGAAGGTGAAAGAGGATCTCTTGAAGA